CGCTGGGGCTGCAGCCCATGACGCGCCGAAATCTGGACTCGGCGTCTGCGCCGCCCCGCGCGGGTTTCGGGAGCTCGGCGGCGCCCCGGGGAGGGGGCCGCCGACGGTGCCCACCGCGCGCCCCGCACGGCCGGGGACGGCCGCAGCCCCTGGCACGGGGCGCGGGCGGGGGGCGAGCGCCCCGAGGAGTCCGCGCCGCGGCGGCTCCCCTGGCTGCCTCCCCGAACTCTTACTTTTGCTTCTCGTCAGCCAGCCTTCGGGTTCCGGCCGTGGGATGGACGCCGGGCCGCCGTCCGGGCCCCGGGGCCGGCCGGGACAGCGCCCCTGGACGCGGGCGGTGGCGGCGGCCGCGGGAACGGCGACGAGTCCTCCGCGGAGCGGGGCTGCGTGGACGCGCGTCGCCCCGCGCCGGCCGGGTGGAGCCTGCGTCCTCGCCGCCCGCTGGCGGCCCACTCGCTTTCCTCCGCGTGAAAGTTTCGGGGCCGGTAGAGCTCCCGCTGGGCAGAGGCGGCGGAGCAGTGGAGGCCTCGCGACCGTGGTGGTGGTTGCAGGCCGGGGGCGGTGGGGGTGCCGAGTGGAGTTGGGTTCCCGGTCGCGGGCCCGAGCGGCGGCCCTGGCCGGACGCGGCTTTCCCCCCCTCCGCCGCTGCGGTTCCCCGCCGCCGCCCCTTGCGAGCGGCCGCCCCGCGCGCACGACGGGGGCAACTTTTCCCTCGGACTCCGTGTGGCGCGTGGGGCTCCCGTGTCCCCCGCGCCCCTCCGGAGCGTGCCCTGCTCGGCCCTCTCGAGGCGGCACCACCCCCAGCCAGAACACTGCCCCTTCGAGTCTCCAGAGCTGGTCCCCTTTCTAATGTATTATTTATTTTGCTTTGACTAAAAGAAAGTCAAAGTTACCCCCCAACCCCCATTTTTTTTTTCTTTAAAGCCTGAGGCTTCATGCTGCATTTTGATACTAGGTGATGTGTCCATGAAACACCTACATAACTTATATGCTTCAAATAAAATGTTTCTTCCTCATCCCCAGTGAAAACTGCTAACACTTCTTGCCTTCATTTAGCGGGAGATAACGGTTTAACTGGAGTACTTTCTGGAAGGCTGGGAAGTATGAGTGGTTTTCTCTCTCCTCCAGAGTCTAGATTTATTTCCCACATGACATCCCTTCTTCGTGCAGTGTCTAACAGTGATAATCCTGGCTGTTGGATCACAGAAGACTCTTAAATGCATTCTTTATGTAGACATGGTCTGTTTAGGATTTAGGCCTAACATTAATAATAGATAGCAGTTGCTTTTAGTTATTGTAAAAGTTTCTAGTGTGCTTTTGTTTTTTTTTTTTTTTTCCTAACAAACTTCCCAAGTTCCTATTTTAAGAACTTGTGGAAGTATGGAATGAAACTTTTCCAACCACTTCTGGCAAAGTTCACCGTTGCATATGGATAAGATGCAAAGTGTGAGATGATTTGAATGAATTATGGACTGCAGTGGAAATGCTGAGATTCACAGGCTTAAGTTCAGGCTGGCCAAAGTTTTGCAGCGCATGGGACTTGTGGATAATATAGCGTGCTGCCAGAGAGGAAAGCACCCTCTCAGATACTTAATGGCTTCTCCAGTGAGTCCGGGAAAGATACGTCTATATTTTGGAAATGTGCATATTCCAGGTTACCTTAGTATCCATTCAGGACTAGGGCATAACCGGGTATTTAACAAAGTTGACTGCTCTTGGCTCCTGAGCTATTATCCCATTAGAAAGTTTTTCCCCCTTTATTACTCCTCCTACATACTTGGCAGCATGGGTGCATCCTCTAGGCCTTGTGGAAACAACACCCAGAGAAATGCTTATTTTGTGTAATCATTTGTCAGGAAAAGGTAAAATAAATAGGGAATGAGCACTCATTTACTTTACGGATTTTATTTTATTAAAAATTGGCTTATAATTTGTTTAATTTATTGGAATATTGCTAATGTTTTAGAGCCAGTTTAGTGGAAAATGTGGTTTATTGCTCATTGAAAAAATTATGCAAGTGCAATGATAAAAGTAATCAATAGGAGAGAATGAACTCCATTGACTTCTATATAATTTTAAAACACTTAAGCAGGAGAATGCCAGCTATCTTATTTTGATCTAGTGTGGGCATATCATGATCAAATCATGTAACCTTGCCAAATAATGATAACCCAGCAGATGAATGTTAAGAAAAAAAAGTTTCAAGAAATATCAGCAAACAGCGGTTCTCTTAGATTTGGCTTACTTTCAAACAGGTCAGTGTTTAAGGTGCTGATTCAAAGTAATACCGTTTTTTGAAACAGGATTTCAGGTTGTTTTTATTAATGGCCTGTAACATTCTTACTTAGTACATATGCAAAACAGCCTCGCTCTTTCTCTTGAATATCTTGAAATATTATAGGGTTTTCAGTGTTGTGTTCCGCAACTTGACTTATAAAGGCATTTTTTTTTTTTAGGACTCACCATTTATGTTATTTCTGGTCATTTTCTGTGTGTTAATGACACGCTTTAGTTTTGATGTTATGGAATAATTTTTTTGAAGAGTTGAAGAAGGTTTATTTTTTAAAATTAGCTACTATTTTTATTGTGCATGTGAGTCAAATTATACAAAATACTGTGAACTCTTTTTGGCACATTGTAATACCTTTGGAGAGTAATACTATTACCAAAAATACCTTTGATGCAGAATTGGGAACTTGGATTATTATTAAAGACGAATTAATATAGTTGGCCTCGTTTAGGAGTTTTTAGAGTGAGGTATATGGACATTCGATTGGCAGGTAAACAAAATCCTTTAAGCAAGAATGAACACAGGTTGCAGTTTTTCTGAGAAGCATATTGGGAGTATCTTCGGACTCTTGAAATGCTACATTAGATTGCTTACTTAAATGTTTGTCATCATTACGCTTTTGAAATAAGAGAACATTTTAACAGCTACAGGTTGTTGGGGGTTGTTCTTTTCTGAGGTGTAAGATGGGACTGAGACTTTAAAATGTGGTCTGACTTTTGGTGAGGTGGGTTCTGTTGTTCCCCAGCAGCTCCTGTGTAGGTGGGAAATGAGGCTCACACCTGAACTGGCATATTGTAGAGCGTTTCCAGAAGGAGCTCAGAATCCAGTCGCGTTGAAATGCTTTGTGGTTTGGCATACACCTTAGCAGATCTACTGTGTCTTGCCCCCAATTTCTTTCTCCTGAAACTAAGATTCTTGAACCCGAGAACATTTTAAAATGCTAATGGTGTATGGTCAGGAATAATACAGTTCCTGTGTTTTTCTCTGTTCCTCCTCACTTGAAGAGTACGCACATGTTACGGAGGCCGGCTGCCTGCTCTGGATCCTCATACTGAAAAGAACAGTTTTCAGAGCTCAACTTGAAACCTAGAGCCTGTAATATGTGCAGAGTGGGGAAAATGTCAGTTGTTGAAGTGATTTATTGGGCATTTATTAAAATACATTTAATTTTTAGAATATTAGTTGTATGTAGGATTTAGGCAATTGATTAGAGTTTGCTAAATTACAACAGATTTGAATATGAAAATATTTTGCAAATTTCCCCTTACAGTTCATACCGGAATATCTTAAAAAATAATAGTTCTGAATAATACTTTGGGTTTTGTAATTTCTTGTACCTCCATAGTATATATGTAGATACATTAATAAACAAAAAAAAAAAAGAGAGAGAGAGAGAGAATGAGAGAATGCGTTCTTACGTGTCTGTCCTTTAAAAAAAAGTAATAAAATTTCTCATTAGTCTCTTTTCCACATTTACTTGAAAGTAAATAATTTATCTTTGAGGACTGGTTATGTGGCAGAGAAAAGTTACACAAGATTAGTCTGATGAGTTAATCAAAAGTTAGATGTACTCCAAAATTCTTGTGGACGTTACTGTACTGTTTAATTCTTTTTCTTTTTAACTTATGTTTCCTAAGAAAATGTCATTGTATGTAGAATCAAAGGTTTTGAATAAACCAAAAAAAATTTAGGTGTTTTTAATTCTATATCACTTTCAAATCACCTCAGTTTAAACAGGCAACCATGAGTGTTTTCCTGGCGTCTCATAAACATTGAGTATCTCTGTCTTCTGTTACCTGTGAGATCCAATTTGAAATATTATTTTCAAAATTTAAATACTCTTTTATAAGGGATGATTATTACCACAGGCATTTCACAGCCATATCAGCACATTCAGTGTGTTGAACTGCAGCGTGTTGTCACAACGACACAGTCTGTTTACTGGATCCCTGTATGCTCGGCTTTGTTTTTTTTTTTTTTTTTCTCGTCTTGTTTCATTCCCACAGTATATATCTTGGACATAGATTTTTTTATTTTTGCCTAATAAAAATCAAAAGCATCTCTTCCATATTTGCCTGCCAAATTTTCTAAGTTTTTGACTAAGAAAAGAAAAAAGAATTTGATGCAGCTAGATTTAAAAGAGGAATTAAGATACTACCCAGATGAATAAGAAACAGACCGGAGTCTGCAAGCAGTACTTTTAGAGGGAAAGCCTTTGTTTTCATTGATTGTGGAGATGATTTTTGCTCCTAGACTTCCACAAGCATCGACTGGCATGTAAATGTTTAGGATTTGCCAATCTGGCGGCCGGGTCCTGGCTGGACTACAAGTGGTGAGGTCAATGCCGGGACAGAATTAGATGTGCCTTCCTTGAAATAGGGTTAAGATTATAGATTATAAGCATTCAGATCAAACTTACTATCAGAAGGCTTTGGCAACTAGGCCCAACTGTGAGAGCCGATGCCCTTGGGTGAGCCTATTGAGACAGTTTAAATTTTAAGCAATATTTTTTTCTTTTGTATTGTGAGAAAAGATACTGCAGGCCCTCACGTCAGATTGCCTAGAAAGCCCACGTACGATTTTAACCACGTAATGTGTGACTTGAAACTTCAAGTGCCAAGACTTTTTTTTTTTAAAGGTGACCGTCCTCAGAGAAGTTTTTCCTTTTGTTTTCATTCGCTCATCTTTTCGTTTCTGTTTGTTTTCCCAGGATGAATTTCATCCTTTCATCGAAGCGCTTCTGCCCCATGTCCGAGCCTTTGCCTACACATGGTTCAACCTGCAGGCCCGCAAACGGAAATACTTCAAAAAACATGAAAAGCGTATGTCAAAAGAAGAAGAGAGAGCCGTGAAGGATGAATTGCTAAGTGAGAAACCAGAAGTCAAGCAGAAGTGGGCATCTCGACTCCTGGCGAAGTTACGGAAAGACATCCGACCCGAGTACCGAGAGGATTTTGTTCTTACAGTTACAGGGAAAAAACCTCCATGTTGTGTTCTTTCCAACCCTGACCAGAAAGGCAAGATGCGCAGAATTGACTGCCTCCGCCAGGCAGACAAAGTCTGGAGGTTGGACCTTGTGATGGTGATCTTGTTTAAAGGTATTCCGCTGGAAAGTACTGATGGCGAGCGCCTTGTAAAGTCCCCACAATGCTCGAATCCAGGGCTCTGTGTCCAACCCCATCACATAGGGGTTTCCGTTAAGGAACTCGATTTATATTTGGCATACTTTGTGCATGCAGCAGGTAAGTGCGATGGTGAGCAATCCTTCTGTTTTTTTGGTGTGTGTTTCTCTCCTGATGGCTTCTGCGTCCGTTCTGCCCATCCCGGGGCTCACTGCATTGTAGGCCACATCTTGCAATGTGGTCTCAGAGGTAGACCAAAGTCAGAACAGCCCGAGGCCCCTGTGCGTGGGGTGCCAGCTTCGGGTGGGGTGGGGGGAAGCAGGCTCTCGGGCCTCCTCGCTTGGTAAGTAGTGTTATGGAAAGTGTTGGTAATCAGATAGGTGATATGGTTCTATCACTTTTATTTTTTTGAGGAGGAGGGGTGAGAGAAGCTACTTGAAAACTATGTAAGAAGAAGCATATTTTCACTGACCAGTGATCTAGTTAAAGAACATTTAGCTGGTAGAGAGGCAATGTTTTTAGCTGCTTTTCTGTTGGGAGAGTTTTTAACTTACTGGGGCCACTTGAACCCCCTGCCAATTAAGAAGCTGGAGGTAAGATTAATATGAAATTGCTGATTGCTTATGAAGAAAAATAATCACATTGATTCACAACTTTAGTTGCTTTGTGTTTAGGAATTCTGAGCGTCGTATTTGACAGCTAAGGTAAATAAACCAGCTCTAAGTAAGTGATGGAGGAGGTTAATATTAAACGTAATCCACCTGTTTGGCACATGGTGACATCGTGAAGTGGCTATTGATGGTTGATGGAGTGAGTTGCTTTGATTTATTTTACAATTCTCTGTTGCTTTTTGGAGGTATGTTTTATGCGTGTGTGTTTTCAGCATTCAGGACAGAACTCCTGAGGACTGGCTAAGAGCATGCATTTTTACTTTGTTCCTTTCCTCTACTTTTAGACAAAAGACTCATTGTATCATGTTAAAGCTCAGGTCTTGTGTAACTTGTTGACTTTTTATATGTACCTGTGAATCTTGCTAGAATACCTTTGTGGCAGTTAAGTGAGCCAGATGCAAGAAAGAAGGTTGTGGAATACCACCAGTGGGTTGTTTGGGGTTCATATATTTGTGTTTTTTCCCCCCACAATGGAGAGGAAAGAGTACCTGTAAATTCATTCTCACAGTGTTATGTTCTGAAAATGTTAGCTGCTTTTAAAAGGAGTTGACTGATATCACTATTTTCTATTATTTTTCCTCAATGTAAGTTTTACAAAAAGAACTTTTGTTATCCATCTGTCCTTACTTAAGAAACCGAAGAAATTAACTTTGCAAGCATGCCGCAGCATCATTTGTATTCTGTTGGCTGGGGATGGGTGAGTCTTTGAGAGGATGTGATCTGTGAGTGTTTCAAATATTTGGGTTTTTGAAAATGTATACTAAATTATGAGAAGTACTTATTGCTTTAGCCAGTTTTGGGTAGCAAGAATGAAAAAGCATCACCTCTCTGATGACCTCAGCCCTTCTTTGACCCTCTTTTAGCCTTATTGTTCGATTGTTTTGTCTGCTGAAAGGGCAAAGTTAACAATTTTTTCATCTGTTTGTATAAGTCAGTGCAGCAAGGTACAAAGCCAGTATGGGCATTGCAAATAGTTTCAAGTAGCACTCTTTAAACTGTTGTTTCTCTTTCCCATGTTCAGAAAAATACGTGCTTTTTAAGTTATGACAAATGCTTCAACTGACCATCCTAGACACAGAACAGTGCCAACAGTTGCTGTAGCTAGTGGGGTGTGCCTCCTTCCTTCCAGGATAACACTCAAATGAAATACCTGTGAAGATGTCTTTTTTTTTTAATCGCCTGATTGGTGTCTGTTCTTAAGTTTCCAACTTCAGCATTTCCCCTGGATTTAAAGAAAAGCACCCGTTCTGCCTATCCCTATGGTATGTGCTCCCTTTGCTGTTGTTGATGGTTTGTTATCCTGCTGCCCCAAATCCTTGAGCTAACACAGTGTCAGGTTATTGCAACACCTGAAGAGATTATGTTGGTAAAATGACATTTAGCAGGTTGCTTAGGAGAGTTAGCATCCTGATTGCTTAAAAAAAAGATTTATTGACAGTAGTGTGGCTCACACTACTTTTTGGTTTGGTGTTCCTGATGTATCCCAGAATCCCTTGTAAAGCCTGAACGGCAGCCAACGGTTTGGCCATTGGTTTTCACAGGACCGCGGTAATGGCTGCCTCGCTGTGTGCGCAACAGGAAGACTGCAAAAGAAAATATTCAGGGCCTTTTGTCTGAAAATATTTTAAATTTGATTTAGAAAATTTAGAGACCTGTTATTTGTGGAAGGGAAGCTGCCAATACAAATATGAGGTAGATCGGTCAACTTGCATACAACTGATTTGACAAGCATCTGTTATAATACTGTAGATTTGTAAACACTAAACAATGTTTTTACCTCTTTAAAAGTTTTGAGAACTTGCCAGTATTGGCAGGAGGCAGAGACTCTGAAACGTGCTTTGAGATACATGCCAAATCCATTGTGGCCTTTTCACCTATCGTGAGCTTTTTCCCTCTCTTTCTTTTAAAATGCTGTATATATTTTTTTCCTCCCAAAATGCCTACCCCCGTTTTAGGGCCACAGGAATGAAATCTTTCCCCCCTGGAGATTTGTACAATAGTTATTGTGTCATTCATCAACCTCTTTGGTAAAACATTAGAAGATCCATGTGAACGCAAAATCAGTCAGTTTTAAAGAGCAGAGGTGGTTTATTCTGACTGACTGAGATACTAACATGCAAATACATAAATTATGCTGCAGTTTGTCCCCCCAAATTCAATGGACTGAAAGTGGTGTGAATTGTGTGGCTGATAAATAACAACAAGTATAATGAAATCAAAGTTGCTTCCGTAAGACTAAATTTTATGTTCTTAGAAGCATAAAGGACAAAATTATTCTGTGCCCTTGGTTGATTTCATCTCTGTTTGGTTGTCCTTCACGTGTCAGGTGCCAGCTTGGAGATGTTATGTTACTATGGCAAATGGGTGTTTTTGTGGGTGTGTAACAGTAAAGCTAATTTATGGCCCGTCTTTCCCAGATGATCTGTATCAGAATCTACAATATACCCGGCACGTGGCAAGGTCACAATTTAAGTTGTTAAGGTCATAACCTTAGCCACCAGGCATTTGACCTTTTAGATAAAGTTAACCTTTGTTCATTAGTAGGCACTCAACCGAGAACTTTCTGGAGAGTTTTTTTTTTTTCTCCCCCCCTTAAACCGCTTCTGTACAACTTCTGGTAATGTAATCAGATTCTGGAAGAATTCTCAGTTGAGCCACTTAAATTCTGTGAGAGGTTAGACTTTTTAAGAACTCATCTCTGGTCTAGGGATAGATTGTTGTATTTAGGCTGCAGAATGACAGTGTCACAAGTTACATGTGATGGCTATTACCTGCTGTGGGCTAGGATGAAAGCTCTGAGGCAGCTGTGAGGTGACATTTAAAAACTGAAATTAAACAAATGGAATTATGTTTAATTTAACTAGGGCCTCTGCTACTTTTCAAGTGTCATTAGACCCCAAAGCTAAATTGCGATAAGCCATCTTCGGTTTTTGCAGATAAGAAACTTTCTAGGATTGAAATTATTTTTTAGTGGTCTTATGAATCATTTTGAGAGATTCCTAAATTACCAAAAATTGTTAAGTAATGGTTGTAATTGCTAATTGCAAGGTATGAAATGAATTGATATCATTGTAATGGCAGTGTAGGTCTGTGCTGGTTGGACGGTACAGAGTGACCACTTTGGTACAGCACTTTTCCAGGACAATGGTGGCTGATTGCTGACCCCCATTACTGCGTTCAGTGGATTTTGCCGGGATCAGGAATAGCAAGACTCCTGTCACTCACTGCAAAGCGACTGCAGGTTCTCAGAAGCTTGCTACCTGTCCTACGCACAAACCCGTGCAACGCTGTCACTGATCATCCGATGGCCTGCTCCGGGTGGCTCCCTTAGTTATATCGTTATGAAGGCTCATTGTAAATTACTTAGATTACTGCTAGTTTTGCTTTGATAAGCCACGTATAATTCCCTTTCAGCCAGAAGGGAGACAGTCCCGTTCAGGTGCATTTTAGTTTTATTTTGGCTTCCTGATTGCCATTCCTTCATATAGTAATAGAGAAAACCGTGATATGCAGATAGACCAGATGGTCATGTTGACAGATTGAGAATTCACTTCCTACTGCTTCAGAACAGGTGTAAGAGTAGGAGTGTCTGTGTATGAGTGTGTGTGTGCTTCGTGTGCCTGTGTGTGTACATCCAGGTGGCGTACAGGATGCTACTGGAACAGTGGGAATGATATATTTTTCAAAAGACTAGTATTTTAAATATTCTGTGACTATATGGATAAGGTTATCAGTGCATAAATTGTGTAAACTTTTGAATGAATTCTGTTAGACTGTTTATAATTTGATACCGACTTAAGGTGATAATTTCCTAATTTTTAGGCAATTTACCACATGAGCCAGCATATCCAAAACATATCCTATATAGTCTGTTGGCAGGTTTGTGTGTGTCTGTGTGTGTGTGTGTATGGTGCAGACTAAGACAATACATTGTATAATTAAGTTGATTCAGTGATATAATAAGCTCCCTAGTGTAGTAAAGTCCCTGTGATCTGTAACAATAAAGTATGTTAGCAAAAGGACTGTGACTGATAAACAGTGATGTTTAAACTATTACTATCAGTTTCTAACTCTAACCATAGACTAAACTCATATTGGATTTGTGACTGAGTGGTCCACCGTAAGCTGTTAATAAATGCACAAATTTTTAAAATTTCTGTTTTTAAATTCTTCAAAGAAGATTACATTAGCAAGCAACAAACTTGAGATAAATATGGCTTTTATATCTTTGCGATTTTGCTGGGTAACTCCAGGATAGTAATAACATCCTTCATCTAGTGTGTCACTTCACAATCCTCTATTGGAATGTGGCACAGAGGCTGGAAGTTGAAAGTGAGAGTGTTTAGGAGTACGGAGAAAGAGTTGTTCTGGAGGAAACCTTTGAATGGAGGTCAGTTCATTTATGGCTAAGAGAGTTGAGTGTGTTGGTTAGAAATTTCCCAATGCTGC